TTTAGAAAAAAAAAAAAAAAAAAAAAAAAAAAACATACATACATACATACATACATACATACATACATACATACATACATACATACATACATACATACATACATACATACATACATACATACATACAGCCGCATGGACACCATCGCGGGAATAGTCAGGGAAGCTTCCTAGGATCTCAAAACGTCGAGATCTGATGAAAACTTGATTTTCGAAAAACGGGGTTAAACCAATAACTTTCCGGTTTTTGAAAATTTTCAATTTTCTTAGCGGGAAGTTAAAAATTCTTCACTTTTAACAATTTTAAACGTTTAAAATTTTACATGTTATTCGGGATATTCACGAAAAAATAGTCTCGCTTGGTCAATTAAATTTTTCCTTCAATTTTCAATTGACACATCATGATGAAAAATGTAAACTGGCTGTAGTGGGCAGGCTTTTTCTTCAACGCCTGTTGATCGTCGGTTAAATTATAATAAGTTTGCAAACATAAAAAATGAAATTTTATAAAGATTTTTACTCAACAGCCGATCCCATATTTTTCTCGCGTCGCACTCACGGCGAGAAATGGTACTATCCTTGTTGCACTCGTGATGATAAAGCTAATTGCAGTTTTATGTTTTTCTTTTAAACAAATGAAAATTTTGAAAAAAAACGCTCTGATATAAAATAGATAATTAAAAAATCTTTTACGTAGCAAAGCGTTTTTTTCAAAAATCTTCTTTGTTTAGAAGATAAATGAAAAGCTGCAATCATAGGGACTGGCTCTTTTCAGAAAGTTTCTTTATAATTTAACTTACCAAAGATTCTTCGAGCAGCTCCAAAAAACGTTTTTCAATTTTCTCCGCAGTCTTTGGTCGTTTCGTAAAAATTGGATCTTGGGCAATGGCGCTGCAATAAAAAGAAAAAATATGTTTTATTAATAATTAGTAATTATAAAACAAATAATTATAACTTATAATAAATAACTTATGGTACAGGGAAAAAGCATGTAAATCACAACTTAATTTGCAGTTGTAAAATTATGGAAGTTGAAATAATAATTATTTTATTCTGTATAATTTCAGGTACTCTTTCCGGAGTTATTTTTAAGAATATTGACGTATATTGTCCTATTAATCATATGTATAACCTAGCTTTATTGCAACCTTTCAAAATTAAAATTCATTTTTACTAGGATTTTCTCGATTATGGGTTTTATATGAATTATAATACGCACAACCCTTAATTAGACTTTGTGTTTTGTACTTTCAAAGAGCAGGATTTTATTTTTTAAAAAAATAATTATAAATATGTTTCTGCAGAAATGTGAATTATTTAATAGTTTTTAAAAAATTGTCGGACATCTACTACAATCTCACTCAAAACTTTTTTGAAGTTCCTTACATCCTCACCTATATTTCTCTCTTCTTGATAAAATATGTACTACCAAAAGATTAAAGATTACAAAATCAGAACAGTAATGGTCTTTATTCGCGTTCAAGTCCTTGTAAGGTAGTGAATCACTTAACAACTTTTTCTTCCATGTATAGAATTTCGCTGAGATTTTAAATTCGGTAATTATTTAATCTTTTTTATGTTACAATCTTTAAGTACAGTATAAAAATTGATCATTTATGTCACAGTAATATTATTTGCTTAGCTTAATCTTTAATTTTTAGATGATTTAAAATTAAAATAATAATTTAATCCATAAAGCTAAAAATAAAAATATACATTTGAACATACCCGCGGTAATGACCTAAATTGAATAAAGACCGCCGTTTGCAGAATAACTGACGACCAGATGTCGCCCGAGTCTTGCGGGTGTGGTGGTAAGTGGGGACACCAGTGGAATGAATCCAAATCAGTGACGCGAGTGATATTTACTGATATAGACGTGTATTTATTTTGTACATCTTTCTTTACGTCACCTTATTTTATTTACTTGTAAGTATATTTAATAACTGATCAATAAGTATCGATTGTGTTTAATAAGTAGTTATTCGTTTACAAAAGTATTTTAAATTGAATTGAAATGATTAAAAATTTAATTATCATTTGACAGAAAGTATTATAATAGTGGATTGGGAAAGTAGGCGCGATTATATATCTATGTATAGTGTACATACAGTTTAGTCCATCCATGACTTGAAAAAAAAAAAAATGAGTATAAAAAACATTCCAGTGAGAGTGAATCATTGGGGAATATTTTTAAGACCTTGAGTAAAGTTATTTATGGTTTTTATTTATTTATTGTTTAGTAACTTATTTTTGGACTTATTTTTAATTACAGATTTTACCATGTTTATACTCTAAAATTTTAATTATGGATGTATTTATAGAAATAATTGTACTATTTATAGCTAAAAGAGGCTTTATACTATAAATTTAACTCATTTTAGTTAAATTTTCGTTGCTTCCATTTTTTTTTTTTTTTTTTTTTTTTAAACAATGAGACATCTTGAGTGTACCCAATGAATCATCGTGAACTTATACATATGTCATTAAGTAACAAAATGAGAGTAAACGTCGCTGATCACGACAGTTTTTAACATTGTGAAATTAATAAATAAAATAACGGTAAATTTTGAATTTAGTTTTATACATTTCATAATTTGATTGATTAGCTTGCTTAGTTATTTTTTATTTTACTTTCTTTTTTCTCTTTGTTATTTTATTTTTCTTTTTAAATTTTTCAATATAAATCCTCACACAGAAAAATGTTCAAAAATTTTCAAAATGAAAATACAAAATAACTTATAAACTTGTTTTACTGAACTACGTGTACTTTAATGTAAATAAAATGTATAATTTTGCCATTCGGCTACTGCCTTGGGATTCAAACTAATAAATAAATAAAAATTTTTACTTGAAAATAAAAAAATTTTTTTAAAAAATATTTATAGATAATTTAAGAATTGTGTATTGTTTGTTACATACTATTAGTAAGCAAAGTTTATAATTGATAAAAGGTTAGTAAAAATTGTTCGAGAAGAATAATTTTACAAAAAATAATTCAATTAAAAAATATTATTTACTTACAAAATAAAAATGTTACTGGTTATACACATTTTTTGTGATACTTCATTTGTCGCCCTCGAAAATGGGTTCTTGTTGAATATTATTATTGCACATAAAAAATTTTCTTGCATGTACAATTTTCAGTTAAGAATTTAAATATTACATGAAATAAATTGAAAAATAAGTAGTTCAAATCATTTCGACGATTGATTTTTTTTTAACATTGCAATGAAGTGAGGCAATTAAAACTACGAATTTCGATCAATTTAAAATGATAATGAATCTTTTTTCACCATGTAGAAAAAATATTACCAACTTTTTTACGTATAGAATCATTTCTTGTAATAATTCATCAGGGGATGAAATTCAAACCACTGTCAAATGTCTGATTGTTTAGAATGATATGATTTGGATATTTTATATAAATAGTAATTAAATATTGACACACAAAAAATAACTGACATTAAAAACCGCCGAATTGAATGAATTACTTGAATATGTGTAAAGTGAAAAATTATAAAAAATGTATGCACAGAACTTTCTTCAATCTTTTAATCCATTCTTTTTATAAAGTGATTTTCTACAACATGAGAATGTATTTTATGATTACATCAGAAGTACTCAAATGTCTGCTGTTTTTCTTGTATTATTAAAAAAATTTTGCAATTTTATAAAAGTTAGGTGTATTTTATGTTTGAAACATTTAAGTGTATTATTGAAGCTCTTAACAGCCAGTCCCTACGATTGCAGCATTATATTTCTCTCTTAGACAAAGAAGAATTAAAAAACAAACGCTCTGCTACGTAATAAATTTTTTAATTATCTATTTTGTAGCAGAGCGTTTTTTTTTTTTGAAACTCTCATTTGTTTAAAAGAAAAACAAAACTGCAATAGCTTTATAATCATGAGTGCAATAAGGATCGTACCGTTTCTCATAGTGGATGCGACGCAAGAAAAAGAGGGGACTGGCTGTTAAAATGTAATAAATTGAAAAATTTTATGTTTTTTCGAAAAACCGCAAAAATTTCAAAAATTTATAATTATAAAATTGTTAACGTCCGAATTAAAACATATTGATAGTTACATTTCTAAATTTCGTAATTATAATGATTTTCATCAATTACTATTTTTAAAATTAATCAAATTCAACTCAAGTATCTTATTAAATACAAAAACAAGAATTTTGTATAAAAAATAAGGGTTGATGCAGCTATATTTTATTTAATGTGTCTGCGGTAAAAAGTAAACAATTCTTATATTTCTTAATTTCTTTTTCATAATAATAAATTTTTAATTCCATCATTGATTATGATAAAGATCTCATCATAAATTTTTCGAGAATCTTTTCGTTCTTTTATTTTTTTTTAGCTTAATGAAATTCGACTATTTTGATTGTTTACTTCGATAAATTTATTTAATATTGATTTTTTTTCTAGAAAATGTCTGCCAGAAAAACAGCCGGTCGTCGAGCAACGACAAAAAAACGTGCTCAACGCGCAACATCAAATGTGTTCGCGATGTTCGACCAGGCTCAAATCGCTGAATTTAAAGAAGCATTTAATATGATCGATCACAACCATGATGGGTTCATTGACAAAGAAGATCTTCATGACATGCTTGCCTCGTTAGGTAATTAATTCATTAGTATTACAACCATTAATATTTGAATACAGTTATATATAATTTACAAAAGAAGAAATTAAATTTACAAGATTTTATTCTGAAACAGGAAAAAGTCCTACTGATGAGTACCTTGAGGGCATGATGAACGAAGCACCTGGACCAATTAATTTCACAATGTTTTTAACATTATTCGGTGAAAGGCTTCAGGGAACGGACCCGGAAGATGTTATTAAAAACGCATTTGGTTGTTTTGATGAAGAAAATAATGGGCATATCAACGAAGAACGTCTTCGTGAACTTTTAACAACTATGGGAGATCGGTAAATTGCTTTTTTTTTTTCATCATAAATTTATTTATATCTTCATACAAATCTAGAATACTTTTTTTTATTTTGTATTTACTTACAATTTTATTTATTTCTTCAGGTTCACCGATGACGATGTCGATGAAATGTACCGTGAAGCCCCGATTAAAGGATCAATGTTTGATTACATTGAGTTCACTAGGATTCTGAAGCACGGAGCTAAAGACAAGGATGAACAGTAAAGATAAATAATAACAATACAGAATATGACTTGACTATCTTATAAACTTTTTTGTTCAAGTATTTATGAATTGATAATAACTTACTCGAGTTCAACTGATAGTATGGTTTTACTGTGAAAAAAGAAAGCGTATATGCAGTAAAAAATGCTTACGTGGTTTCGTAACTTATTTTGTTACTTAATTTTCAGAATTTGAAATGCATTTGTTTTCTTACTGTCTTTATAACTTTAGTTTTTGAAAAAATTAGTATTTAACCTATTCCAGATTTTTTTACGTAATGTAATGCCATCATTTTTTTTCTTATTAATTATTATTAATATAAATCATTGAATTAAATTGAATATTGTAAAATATACATATATACCATATTATATATTTAGCTGTCATATAATTGGCATTTGTATTTTAATATATCGAAAAAATATCAAGACTAAATTTACTGTGTTGTTAATTTTATCCACAACAAATGATTATAACGGCTTATAAATGCCTTACATTTATTATCGTTACAATTGATTTTTTTTACTATTGATGTATAAATTAAATTCATATCTTTTCATCTGGATGGTTACGGACCAATAATTCGTAGTGAATGAGTTTTATTTCATCAAATTATTCTAAAGGCTTTGAGTTTCATTTTTTTTATCGTCGTTATTACGATAGCTTAATTATAATTAAAAAGTTGCATGAAGTTATACAGTTCCAAAAGATTAATCTTTATTACTTATTTCATGGGTTTCAATTCGTTTTATATTGCTGCCATTAAACGTTATTTATTACACTTTACAATTAACTCCTATCTAAAATGGTGCTGATACATAAAAAAAATAATATATCTAAAAATCGATTTAAAAATACCCGCGTAACAAAACTGTGATTGCGCGCGCAATTTGTGCCTCGTAGTTTGGAAAATTTATTAAAATAAACATTACGTCGCAGCCAAACTATTTCAATAAATAAATTCGTCGTAGTCGAACATTTTATTTAGTAAAATAAATTTTTCTATAAATTCATCAAATTAATCAGAAGTTAATGATTTAAGTAGACTTTCTGCTATCAATAGTATTTGAGAAATTGTATAATCACGAATTTTAATGTAAAACAAATTTATGTATCAAACCAAGCATTAAAAGCTTTAGTACTTATTTTTTATACATAATGACTAATTCGTGATTTTCGAATAATTAAAAAAAGTTTGGAAAATCCAAAAATGCACGCCTCATAACACTTATTCATTTTTTAAGCAAAAAATAAACTGTGTAATTGATGTTAAAAAAAAAAAAAAAAAAAACAAAGAATTTAGTAATTTCTTCTAAAGTATTTTCTGATTTTTTTTGAATTATTAGCCCCCATTTTTTTGTCATATGCGCGCGTAGTCTAAAAAAATCTAGCTTGATTAAGTGGCACCATAGTTTTTATGTGAGAGAAATGAGAAAAGTTTTTTTGTTTTTGTACATGTGTATCATAGTAAATTTTAATAAAATTCATTAAAAAAAACTACGTAAACTAGGCGGCTACTGATATGAAATACGGCACCAATTATTAGCCCCCATTTTTTTGTCATATGCGCGCGTAGTCTAAAAAATCTAGCTTGATTAAGTGGCACCATAGTTTTTATGTGAGAGAAATGAGAAAAGTTTTTTTGTTTTTGTACATGTGTATCATAGTAAATTTTAATAAAATTCATTAAAAAAAAAAACTACGTAAACTAGGCTACTGATATGAAATACGGCACCAGTTTATCGAATTCTAGAACTAATGAAAAAAGCCCAGTCTCGATGTATGATTTTATTCGGAAGTAATCGTTGGCACATATAAAATTAACGAGTGACATCAGGAGGTCCACACGTAAAATTTTTTTCGAAACGTTTTTTTTTAAAGTAGCAACATAAAATGATTTTTAAAAAGTATGAAATGATTTACAAATACAAGTGTTTTCTTGATGTAAATCTACTCATATTATTGTATAAGTGTAATATGGTTGTAATAGCGGCATTTAAAGATCACAAAATTGCTTGACCTTGAGGAGGCGGGAGTAAAGCACTGCCTCATGCGCTTCGGGCTATGAAGCGTGCAAAATAATTACATTCAAATATTTACTTTTTATGAATTTTATTTTCAGAATTCAATAAAATCTGTAAATATGAGACTTTTCATTGACAATTAATAAACGGGAAATTCCAAGACAGAAAAAAATCGAAAATCAACACAAATCACCAAAAAATATAATTGACAAAACAAATTACATAAGTTTATTTTATATCAAACACTGATTAGATTAATTAATATTAAAGTTTTTTTTTAATATCAGATTTACAAATTTTTATATTATTAACTCACCAGTAATTATCATCGTCTTATTTTATTATAAGTACAACTAATGAAATAAGTGAGGTCTAGAGTTTCCGCGAGTTTAAATATTTTTTTAGGTGTTAATTTTAAATTTTTATTAATCTTAGTTTCTATTCAAAAATATGTTACAAATATTGCCTGATATTTGTATTGAAGTTAAATATTTCTTGAAGTATTTTAAATTCGAATCATTGATCTTGAATACAAGTAATCAACGTTATCTTAATTTATAACATTGAATAAATTTCAATGAGTTGGAGAGCTTCTAAGCTGAATTTTCATGTCAACGTGTGACATATAATGTGTGAATAACAAAAATTTCATCCATTAAAACTTATTCGTTTTACTGATGAATGATCACATATTTAGATGCTATTGAAAATACTCGTATCTAGTTAAATTTAGTTATATTATAAAAATATTAATACATTGACGCAAATCTTTTACTGTGTTATTTAATGACGTTAGTAATGACAAATCATTGAAATTTTGTATCCCTTCAGAAAACTATCTTATCAAAAATTTTCAACCAACTTTGTTGTATGATTAAAAAAAATTCTAAATTCATAATCGTTTCCATTTCTAATGTAAATCTGACAACTTTTATAATTTTTTTATAAAATAAATCATTGTTATTATATCATTATTATACAAAAATTGAGAAAAAAAAATTCCGCAGTTAGAAATTAAAAAAAAAAAAACTAGATATATATAAATTTTTTAAAGATATTTTTGGTAATTATTTAGGAATATTTTAAAATTAGTTTTTCAACAATCATGGGATTTTAGTTCTCAAACATCAAAAATATAATAATTAAACAGAAATAAAAAAAAATGATAAACAAAAATCAAATATTGACATTTTCAAAATGTAAAACTAATTGAAAAATGAATTTTCGACTTTTTCTATAAATGTTATGATAAATGCATCGTAAAATAGAATAATTTAAAAATAAAAATATTTTAAAAGAACCCCACTTCCAAACAATTGCCATATTTCTTTTAGTTTTAATTAATTTATTGAGTAAATCAAAAAATTGGTCAGAGGTCTACTAATTTCAAGTAAATATTGTAAGCAGTTAAAAATATTTTAATTCTTAATTGCAAGACAAAATTTCAACAATGTTTGCTTTCTTCACCACCATCTTTTTTTATTATAATTAAGATTGATTTAAATAAAATATGAAAAATACTCCTCGAATTTGAAAAAAACTAAACCCCGCGCTTGCGCGTATTATTATTATTTATATAACGGTATGGCCTAGTGTGTATAAAATATAATAATAAAATATAGCGTATAGTAATAATAATAAAAAGGGGATATACACTAAAGCGTCGGCGTGGATTTGCGTCTGCGCATGGCCTTACAGTATTCCAATAGAGCCGCAGTATCGCTTTCACATTTCGTGAGTACAGTACGGAAATTGAGCAGTGTCCTGGTCGTGTCTTCTCCATTGAGGGCGGCTGAAGAAAATCCTATATATTTATATACATACATTTATGCCTTCGCCCATAAACATTTTTTTTCCGCCTAACAAGAATGTATAATTTCAGCGTGATATAATGTGAGTAAAACACAACGATAACAGTGAAAAAATAATATTTATTGTTTATAAATCAAGTGTCGCTTATTTTGGTTGCTATGGAAACGTTAATTTGACACGGACGAGAAAACAATATCCTGTTGCAGACAGAGAAGAGAATTATCTCGAGGACGCTACAAAACGCGTCCGGGACTTTTCAACCTCATCCTTTATCATCCAAGTAATCTATTTATTTCGGATTTTTCCACTTATAAAGTGTCCTCTAGTCGACAAAACTACATTTAATCGAATTGAAGATTTGAAAAATTTAACTAGAATAATTCGGTATTAATTCTTAATAATCAAAGTTCTGATTATTCTTCTGAAGGATCACGATAAATGACAAAACGTCATTGTCATGGGGCTGAGATATGTGGACCTTGATATAAATGAAGAAGAGACCAGACTGATCGATCAGTATGCAAACACTGGCCAGGATTCGATTGGTCCTTCCAATTATTAAATTAATCATTGGTTACTATAATAATAATAATAATAATAATAATAATAATAATAAATAATAAATATGTATATAAAATAGAATAGAAGTGGTTTGATTAACACGATAAGAAAATAATAATAAGTTTTGTTAAATCGAGTGGATTTTCCTCACACTTTGTTTGATGACAATCAGCTGTTTATCACTATAATCGTAGGTAAGTTAATTGTTGCAAGTTTCACTAAAAATATATTTTTTTTCAGAACACTATCGATGTCATTAACGATCGAGCGATAAGAAGACACGTGACTCGACGATTAAAGCTAGTACTTATGCATTAGGATTTTTCAAAGTAAAGTTATCAGCAATAGATTTTATTATCTAAATAAAATTAAGTTGTTGAGTAGATTTTTTAATGGTAAGTAACTTGCGGGTGTTCATTGCTTATCGATATCGATACACCTCTAAAGCCATAAATCGCTATTCAAGGCTAGTGTATTTCACGCAGCCATAGTTCTGTTGTATTATCCAATATTTATAGCTTGGAAAATAACGATACCCTACATATACGTGTTGTATATTCTATGTGTTGTACTAAAGCTCTCTATATGCATTTACCTTTACTT